GTGAAAGCTAACGTACGAAACCAGAGGGCAGCACAGGATGCGATCGCACGATCCCTTCCGTGAGCAATCTCCCAACTCATCTCTGTCCTTTATAACAAGACAGGTCGGTACTAGAGATCATCTCTGTCGGTACTCTCGATAGAAGCAGAGATGAGTTGGGAGATTGCTCACGGGCAGGATCGAGCGATCGCATCCTGTGCTGCCCTCTGGTTTCGTACGTTTAGCTTTCACCGTTTTTTGCCCCCAATGGCGGCGCAACGAATTTCTGATAGGAGCTCGCGCACTCGCGATGGCGGTACCATCTACCAGTCGCCGTTGGCGGCTCACGTACTCGTGATGATAATACCATGCGGCAGTTGACGGTGGTGGCTTACCTACGCTTACCAACACTGCTCGCTTTTGATGGTAAGGGAAGAACACTCGTGACGCTCCATTTGACTTTATCCCGTAGAGTCCCGTAAAACGCTCGATAACGATCGAAAACACTAGAATATCACTCGATATCACTAGTCGTCCGACGATTTCGCCGTCTGTCGGTAGGAATCGGAAGGCGCTAGTCGCGCGTCGTTGTTCCGTGCTGCCCTCTACGGAGAATTCGGCCGACTCGGACGCAAACGTACCTTGCCTCGTTCCTCGCGCGTACTTTCGTTCCCAGACTATCGTTCGCGCCTCGATCCTTGCGAAGAGCGACATCGAGTCGTCTCAGATCACGCGGGAAGAGTATTTCCTGTGGATATTCCCTGCCAAAGCAGCAACGAGGACGCAACGACGGACGATCGGACAACGCCAAGGAAAGAATCGGGGATGTGGATACGAGGAGCGGGAAGAAACCCTCCGAGGTGGCTCTCCACCGGAGAGAGTGAGCGGACGCGCCTCGGAGGAGAGTGTCCCTCCTTGGATGCTGCGGCCCTCTCTCCGTTTCCCATCAGTAGTCGACTGCTTCTCGCGGGGTCCGTTCCTCGGGCTCGTCCGTCTCCTCGCGACCGTCTCCGCAGATCCGAGCACGGGTACCCTTGGACAATGGGCACGCGCCACGAGGGACTCGGAAATATCGAGTAAGGATCAAACGGGAGAGAATTGCGCCTTGTCGGTCGAGGCGACGAAAGGAACTTGACCGCAGGCCTCGACCTTGATCGCGATCGAAGACGGACGTCTGCTCGACGGGCGCGGGGGAAGGACGGAGTCACGGTTCGGAGGATTCGGAGGATTCGGGGGATCCGGAGGATCCGGAGATCCCACGGGCCGCGAAAACGACTCGGGGCTTGGTACTCAAAAGCGGAGAGTCATCGGGACTTTCACTAATAAACAAAAAGTGCAGTACGTGCCCAGTACGTACGGCGCATTTGATACGTTACGAGGACTCAAAGGCGTTCCACTTGTTTCAGTGGCCTGGTTTCCTGTCCTACTTTTAACCGTGGTTCTACCGAAGATGTGCGCCACGGTTCGCGAACCGCGGGCTGGTACGTCGCCACCGGGTACCGAAATCCAGCCGTTCGATTACCGTCCGATTACCGCTACATTGCGATTCTCCTGTTTTCTTGTTTCCCAGCTTGGAGTCCTGAATAAAGTCGTGAGATTCCTGTCGGTCGGCGCGATCGGTCGGTGGGACCGGTCGGCGCGACCGCTCGTCCTCGCGAGGATGGACCGGAGCCCTTGCTGAGCCGACGTGCCCGAGGATTCGGGACGAGTCTCGACGAGCGCCTCTCGAGATGACGATACCTCGAACGACGCTGTTCTGCCTTCTGCTGTTCCTAGTGCGAGCCGACCACGAGAGACTAAACGATCGTTATCTCGGCGGACCCGGTGAGCGACCGGTTGTCGTATCTTGCTACGAATTAATCAATTTTCCTATAGTCCGCGTTCCTTCGCGTAACGGCGCGTCCATTTTTGACCTTACCCTTGACCATTGCGTATTTCTTGACTTTCAGAGAAATTCGAGGAAGGAAACTCCTTACGGAACGTAATAGACTCCCCGGGCCAACTGAGATTCTTCGATGAGCTTGGCCGTAAGTGTTTATTCTTCGTTTCTATTTAGGAATCGGAGCTGGTATTTCGAAAGTCACGGCCAGTCGGATGATCGATCGACGATCGTTCGTTTGTCGTTCGTTTGTCGTTCGTGCTAGAAAGCGAGTGGTCCCTTTCTCGCCTCGTCCGTGTCATTCGATAACGATCTCGGCGGTAGCGGGGTACTCGTCCAAGGTTCGGTGATTTCGGGGCCCGAGTATTCGGCGGCGTCTCTCCCGGTCCCCTGGATCGACGCCGAGCCTCGAACTTTCCCCGCCGACTTCGCCCGAAAGTGTACTTCCTCGGGAAATAACACGCGGCACGGGGGGTTTTCGATTTCTCGTTAAAAGAGCTAAAAGATCCTTACCGGGTCGGAAGTCGTGGCGACCCAGAATCGGGGAAGACGAAGGTCAAGAGCTCATCATCGGGAAGAAAGGGAAGAAAGGGAAGAGACGGCGAGGAGGAGGAGGGAGCGACGCGTCCCGAGGTGGGAGAGTAAGAAAGGCCATCGCGTCTCGGTGGCTTCTCCGGGAAAGCCGATGCCGGTGAAAGCAACCGACTGGCGAAGACCCCGATCGAGTCCGGTGGCTCCTCAGTCCACGAGCGAGGCGCGTTTCGACACCAGGTCCTGCCATCAGGACCCGCGCCGGGGATTCCCGAGGATCGGGAACTTTACTCGAGATGAAAGCCGCTGGCCCTGGGAGAGACGACGCCAGGAGGGACGCCTCCCGCGGGATCGTCGACTGACTCGCAGGCCGCGAGGGGAGAGCTTCGATCGGTCGCGTCGATCGAAAACGAATGGTGAAATCGAAATCGTTATTCATGACGGATTGGAATTTAGACGGCCAAGCGTCGCTCCCTTCGATCCCCGAAAGCCTCGACGGAATCGACGCAAGGGCGGCGTCGGCGAGGCGCCACCGATCGCGGCTGACGTCCGGATGACGTCCGGATGACGTCCGAGTGATGTCCAACTTTGACGGGGTTTACGAAGGTAGCAAATCGAAGCTGGTCTCACGCGTCGAGCATGTCTCGTTGGGCCGTTGGCGTCTGGTGCGTGCACCTGCTCGTGTTGGTTAGGGCCGCGCCCGGTGACCCCGTCTTCGCCATTGAGCCCTATTCCTTCGGTTCTTCGGTCTCCCCGAGGTCCTTCCGGGGCCAAAGGAGAAGCCTCCCTCAAGAAAAGTGGGCGCTTCTCCCGGAGAGAAGCCGCGGAGGCGAGGAGTTTCCAGGGGGTCGCTCGTCGGACTCGAGCGGCGGCACCCTGGAGAACTCGATCGAGCGCGGTCCGACGCGAGGGAACGGTTGGCACCCTCGACGGGCCGAGGGAGAGGCGGTCATCGCCGAGGTGTTGGAAGAGCTGGACAGGAACGGGCGCAACGAGCGGGCGAAGGACTCCGCCGAGTCGGAGAGGCAGGGAAGAAGAAGGAAGCTGACGAGTCAGGAGCAAGGGGCCCTGCTGGTCGAGACCCTCAGGAAGAGGCGGAACCTCACCGGGACCGACGACCCCAGGGGGCACGGGGCCGATCTGCAAAACGGGATAATGGACATGCTCGGCAGAAGTACGTTCGACGCCAGCGAGTATTTCTAGGTCAACCGGACTTTCTGAAATCGTTACGGTTTCCTTTCGATCCGCCGCGTCGATCGATCGCACTCGCGTCTCAGACAGAGGCAGGGGTTCCGGGTTCCTGTCGAATCGGAAGCGGTCAAAACTGGCCGGAGCGAAGCGAGTCGGGTCGAATAACAACGGCGAAACGTTGTGTGTTCCAGTGATTCCGCAGACCTGCAAGTACAGAGGAACCAAGTTCGAGTGCGGTCTCAGCATCAGCTGCGTCCTCGGCGGTGGTCGGCCCGTCGACCTGTGCTCCGGGGGACTCATCTGGAGCTGCTGCGTCGACGACGACGACCTACCCGACAAAGTTCCTCGGCCGAGTGTGGGCCTCCTTCAGAACGCCAGTGAGTGTCCTTTGTTCGACTATACTTGCCTTCGTCGCCCACTAGGTCGCGCGCGCGTATCTTTCGGCTCCGGACTTCCGGGACCGACCGGGTTCCTTGGTCGGGGTTGGACTTGCCGCGGGGCCGTCGACAGGTCGGTTCCAATCGCCAAAGGTAGAAAAGATACAAAAGATGTCGTAAATGGATTGCAGCCTTCGCGTTAAACTTGGCGAATCAACGTCCGTACGTGGACGAGGATGTGCCGATTTACACGAGTTTGTCTCGGCCAAAGCCGACATACGGCCAGAACGGCCATCGGCCCTCCTACACCTACCCGGGCGATTCCAGCAAACCTCTAGGAGGACACGAGCCGACGTATTCCGCGTGGAATCAGGATCATCCGACCGATTCCTCCCACGACCGGCCCTTTACGAGCAGGCCGGAAGTGCCCTATATTCCCGGCGGCTATCCGCAGGAAGGCTTCGACGACGGTTACCAACTAAATGCCGGGACCCACGGTCCGCCCGACGACTACTCGAACTCGGTGGATCCCTCGAAATATCGCGGTAAAGAGAGAACCGGGTGTCTTGTCGCTGCACGATCTCGGTCGCGCTTGATCGAGTGCACGCTTGACGGTGGGTCGCCCTGCAAGAATCCAGCGCGTCTCGATCCCGAATCGCACCCGAGAGGCTTTGTCGAGTGCACGCTTCGTCGCTCCTCAAAACGGCCGTCGCAACTAATTGCACCGGTTTCCTCGGCACGAGAACGGAGTGGGGCAAACTTTGGAATAATTTCACCGGACGGCGCGCGCTCCCCGTTCCTTCGCCTCTACCCGGCCTCTCCGTTTACGTACGCTCGCTCACTGTGAACAAAGTCCCTAATTAAGCCATGCGTGGTGCGACATCGTTACCGCGGGTTTCTTTTTCCGTCACCTCGGACTAGGAACTGGCGGTCGTTAGTCCACTTCGGGAGCGGAATTCGACTCGAAGCTTGCCCCCCGTCCAGTCGTGCCATCGACGCCACTTGCCGCTTGAAACGGAACGAGCGGAACGAAAACCCGTCGGTAGTCCCTAAGTGCAGTCAATTATCGCGTACACGCACCGCCCACACGCTTGCATCCGGGAATTGCGAGTGCACACGTTGCACGTAAGCACGTTGGAAACTGCCGAGTTGCCTGTCGTCGGCGAAAACGAATTTCGAATGAAGGATCGCCTGCGTCGTTCGACTCTCCCACCACTTGGGAGCGCGACGATCCCGAGCGACGTCTTAAGAGAATCTTAACGTGAATCCGCATATTCTAGGCTGCGGGGAGTTGTACACGAGGAGCAACAGAATCGTGGGAGGACACAGTTCCAGTTTCGGCAGCCACCCATGGCAGGTAAGCTGAGCGTTCCCTCGCGATAACGGACCCAACCGTTTCGGCTGGCCAATTTCACGGCGGAATCTCACCGAAACGAAACACACTCTTCCCTTCTTCGGCATTATTCATTTTCTCCCATTGTCTACCGTCGGCTGACCTCGAATCTCCTCGGTTCTCTCGGGGTTTTACTTTCTCGCACGCGAAGGGAGTCCGAGACCCCTCCTCGGAGCCGCGGGCGGGGGCCAAGTCGAATGGAAAGTGCGCCAAGAAATTGTCCCGCTCGGCGAGGAGCGTGACGAACCCGTCCACGATTTTCCGACTCGCCGTCTCCGTCGTGACCTCTGTCGACCTGGATATTCCGGGTCCGCCTTTTCCTCGGGGGGAACGGGACACGAGCGCGGAGTCTGATCTCTCTCTCCCTCTCTTTCTCTGGCGTATTTTCGTGGTTTCAGGCCGCTATCATCAAGTCGGGCTTTCTGGCAAAGAAGCTTTCTTGCGGAGGTGCCTTGCTCAACAATCGCTGGGTCGTAACGGCGGCGCACTGCGTGGCCACGTAAGTATTTCGGTTCCGCCCGCGCGAGAGCTGCGCTCGCTGGATCGGTGAGTACGGAACCGGCGGATGTAGTTGACTGTGCCCTGAACGTTGCAGAACCCCCAACAGCAACCTGAAGGTCAGGTTAGGCGAGTGGGATGTAAGAGATGCCTCCGAGCGGCTACTGCACGAGGAGTACAACATAGAGCGCAAGGAGGTAGGAAAAGTTGATACCGTTGTGCGCAGCGCGTCCATGCGGTAATCGATAATCGTTTCAGGTACATCCGCAATATTCCCCGACGGATTTCCGAAATGACGTGGCTTTGATAAAGCTCTCGAGGTCGGTGTCTTTTAAGCAGCACATCGTTCCAGTTTGCTTGCCCGCCAGGAACCTCAAGCTTTCCGGGAGAACGGCTACCGTTGCCGGTTGGGGAAGAACCCGTCATGGTCAGAGCTCTGCGCCTTCCGTTCTTCAGGAAGTCGACGTCGAGGTGACGATTTCGTCATTATCTTAGCCTAGTTGAAATAATTCCGCCAGTCGCTGCTCAACGAAAAATGTACACACGTCGCGATAACGCTAAAAATCTACTCCTACAATTGTCGACTAATTTGATTCATTGCGTTTTTACATTATATGTGGACCGCAATGAATTATTAGGAAATCTCCATTAACATTTTTGACGATCTAATTCTAAGTAGAAATCGGGAATGTGTAGTATCATTAAGTTATGGATTTCATTGTATCTAAAGCAATTGACTTCCAGACCTTTTCTAGTGTTTTAGGAATGAACTGTATTCAAGTGCTGAATGACCTTTTATTTTAGGTCATTCCTAATGAGAGGTGCCAAAGGTGGTTCAGAGCAGCAGGACGAAGAGAAACCATTCACGACGTATTTCTTTGTGCCGGTTATAAAGAAGGAGGACGCGATTCCTGTCAGGTGATATTCTTTTATCATTTATTTGCAAATCTTGTCTTCTGAAAGGGTTCCGACAATGTTCACGAAGTGTCATAGATAGGTCAAGTGTAAGAATATGAAGTGAAAAATAATGTAAGGATTTTCTGTCACTTTAGGGTGACTCCGGAGGCCCTTTGACGATGTCGGTGGAAGGAAGACACGTATTGATTGGTCTGGTCTCTTGGGGTATTGGCTGTGGCAGAGAACATTTGCCAGGAGTCTATACAAACATTCAGAAATTTGTGCCTTGGATCGACAAGGTCATGAGTTGAGTGACAATTAGCAGCAACCTCCTTTTCACGTACGGTGAACCGACAGAACCGATTGTTGACTGACACGATGTACGCTTAGTAGTTTTCTGTCCAAACCCGTAGCGCAGATTAATCTCAGGTCCGGAGTTGACGAGAAATTGAGCAGAACTCTTCATACGAAATATGACAGACGTATTGGTGAGAATTTAATTATCAATTGCCTCCCTAAGGCAATCCCTTTGGCATCCCCAAAGTATCGAGTCTACTCCAGACAATTGATAAAATGAGGATTCACTTTCAACTAGCGAACATTTTTTTTTAATACTTTTAGGGTCGTACTGTTAGGTCAATGAAAAAAAGAACGGGTACAATTTTCAAGAAGGTTCCTGTACCATTTGAAATGAAATGATTGCACTTTTCTATGTTAGAGTAAATAAGAATGAAAAATGATGTTAATGTACGGATATTGTCTGCATGAAGATTTCTATTATTGCGGCAGCACCCTTTGCAGAATGCCTCGATTTATCTTCAGTTGTACATATGCATTACGAATCAATTACGGCATTTTATTCTTGAGGCATATCTTTACTCAAGGATAGTAATCTTTTTCCGATATGTTATGACACTGTCAGTACATTCATATCCAGTAAATATTGGAAAAAAAAATTGTGTAATGCACCGCTGTACATAAAAAATACTCTACCGGTGATTATTTTTAGTAGCGGGAAATCGTAATATTAATTATAATATATTAATGTTGCACTGTCAGTCTCTCGTATGAATGTATTAATTAATAACGATTTTAGACAGTTCGAAGTAACCTACGTGTTCTGTTTAAGTAAATATGCGAGATTTCATTTCCTCCGTTTAAATGATGACGTATCGGTTTTACTAAAGTATTGTATAATGTATAGTAGTTATAAAGAGCTAGTAGATACGTTTACGTTTCCGATATGTGAGGAAAGAAGAAGAATAGCAACCTCTTACATCACAAGAGTAGAGGTTTCCTTGAGAGAGGGATTATTTGTGATGGTTTAAGGGCTTTTCGACGCTATGTTTCGACCGTTTATCGTTTGGACTCGATGTATATTCTTAATGACAATTATCTAAGCATCCAATGGGTGTTACCGATCGAGGCACTATCTAGGACTTTCTAAAAAGAAATATGCCAATACTTGAAAATAACGTTCTTGTATTATCTGCAGAATGGTCCGGAAACGATCAATCCGTGGATAAATAATGTAAACACACGCCATTGATGTTGAACGTGAATCATCGATGGCGCACGGTTTTATCATCACGATGCGTGTAACGTAACGTAACGCGACGTCGTAACTCGTATTACCAGTGGTAGTACCACACATTGGATACCCAGTCGGTAAATTAGATTCTAGACAACAAACGGTAACGAAACTATCGTGTCCATGGACGATGATAAAACAGTGCTCCCCGTCAAACTCTACGTTATCATCGATTGCACGAAACGTTGGGTAATCACAGTAATAACGATAACAAGATCACTCCCGATGATTCCATTGTATAAATACCGTATCGTATCGAAACTGACTTTACATCTTAGATTCATAGCGAGACACTAATTCGCATAACACGTAGATTCATTGAATGAAGTCGGGATAAGTAATCGCGACAAATTTGATCCCGGTTCCCTTTTGACTAGCGTAGAGTCAACTACGATTTGGCACTACGTAGTAGGTAAGAAAAAATTGAATCGAAAACTCTAGCGAACGCGACCGACGAGCCACGGGCCGTTATTCTAAGAGTAAACGCTAGTTTAACCTATTGGGTACCTGGCGATTCGGGTTTTCTCGTAATTCCCCCCCTTTCCGGTGGGTCGTTTACCGAGCGCGGCCGATCTTCGATCAGTCATCGAGCGGCCAGCGGACGGTATGTACGCCGTTGCTTCGGCCTCCGCTTATATTCTCGTACCCGTCTTTCCACCTTCGCCTTCTCGATGCGCCGTCCTTCCTGGGTCGGCCCGACGCGACGGCGCCTCAAGAGCCGCACGGTTGTCTCAACGACGTCTCGTTAATTGGCCAGAATTAGCTAGCGTCAAGTGTCGTTTGGCTTTTAATCGGGCCTATGATTGCAAACGGGATGGATAACCGGCTGGATCCCCAATTTCGATTCGGACGAGATTCGGGCCAACAGCGAAGACAGTAATTACCCCGGCGTCCCATTAATCAATCGCGACGAACCGTTATCTCGACGACTCGTTAATCGGTTAGGTAAACAATGATAACCGGATCAGGTTTCCATTGACATTCCCCCTCCACCCGCCAACCATCCTGGAAAAACATGATCCAAAGGTGTAAAAGCTGCGCGGGAGGACATAAAATCGTCACTTGGTTGCGCATCGTCAAAAAGTCAGGAACGAATTAAAGTTGGCCCCGTAATTATTGGGAAACAGAGGGATCGGAAAGTGCTAATTGAAGGAAGAGAGGGCAGGAAGGGGACGAGGTAAGTTGCTAATTAGAGCCAGATTAAACGCTTGTCCGGGGAGCCATTTTCCTTGCCACCCCGGCTTCTCCGCACGGCCGAGGGAGGGGACGCACTCGGACCTCGGGAGGGAGTCCGCCGGAGCGTCGGGGAAGTGGCGAAACTGCAAGAACGACCGCCGGCAGGGATGGCCGAGAGTGGGAGGGGCGAGAAGCAGGGGGGGCTTAATGAAAAGTGTTTGCCCCGTAAAAGTTAAGATTAATTGGCGCTCAGGGGGGCGGTTACCGCGGTAATCAGCCCCGATCCAGTGGTTTTCAAACTGCCCCTTCCGACTCCTACGCTCTCCCTTGGCTCTGTCGCGGCGAGCTCGTGTTGACGGTCCGTTGGAAAGTCCGATTGCTTTCGATCGGTCATTCGATCGGTAGAAGAAGCTAATAATCTCGAAAGAGGGACGTAGTTATGACGCCGAGGCCAAATTGTCCGGAACCGTCGACTCGAATGGGCACGGGTGTTCCTGGATATCGTCCTAACCACCAGGGCGAGGTAAATTGGCACGAATCGGTTAACAAGGATCGCGCTCGAAACTTTGAGGATCAAGGAAGATTACCGAGAGTCGCGATCGGCCAACGACCTCGCTTTTTGTCCGTGAGCGCAGGGGGGTCGATTCCGTATCCTTGGCGGGAGTGCTCGTTTCTCGCCCTGTCATCTCACGTGTGTTTATTCGCCCCTCTTCTCCAAGTGAGAATGTGAGATCCCTAGACCGAAAGAACTCGGTCCGAGATCTCGGAGTTTCTGGTTGAGTGGTCTTACGCGAAGTATCTCACATTTTTGCCATAGTGGAAGTTACAAAATCGCGGGAGGTACTCACTTTTAGAATTTCCACTAGGTTCGAGTGATAGAAGCGACCCCCGAAGGATACAAAATATGCGAAAGATCTCGCATATTTTGTATAATAAGTGGAAGGGAGGAGAAAACGGAAAAGCATCACGGGAGAGACGTTCGGGTCGCGAGGCCCCTGGAAGGAACGCCATTTTCCGGGTGTTTCCGGGTTTTCCGGTTGAGCACAGCTGGAATGAGAGGTTAATTTGGCGACACCTAGTTTCATTAACAACGCCATTAAAAGTAATGGCCGTCGAGGGGTGAGACCCGCTGGTGGCTCCGTAGGGGTTGGGAGATTCTAATTACGCAGAAGGACTTCCATGGAGGGGATGATACCGGGGCTAAGGGAGCATTTCGGCGATGGAAGCGGGAGGCGAACGTAGGACGCCATGATGCCCCTTAAGCGACATAATTGCGCTCCGGGGAGGAAACCGACGTAATCGTTCTCGACTTACTATTTCAAACTGCCCTGTGACTTTTTACCGTGATCATCCTAGATCGGTTCCTTCCGAAGTACCTGACGTACTCGGAGATGATCGCGATACGCGCGAAAAGAAGTCGATTATTTAGCGGGCACGATTTAAACGTCATGTGCATATAACTGAGAAGGATCGAAGAGATTCTCGAAACGTGTGGAAGATGAGCCCGAACGGGGCCGAACCGGAAAGGAGACGTGCTTGGAAATCGGAGGAACTCGTTATGTCTCGACAGTTGCTACTTCTGCCAATGTCTAACCGTCGTTGTTTGCCGCCAACGAAGAAGGAAACGTCAATTCCGAGAGTAATTATTGTACCAGGTAGAGAGAATCCCGGATCTAGTAAATCAGATGATTAAAAAAATGTGGAGAACCGTTATCGGGACACGTGCTCGGGATAGATAACGCGTATCGTGAATCATTAGTGTAACGTTACCAGCAAACGGTCAACCATAAATTCCATTGGCCCTAGTAATTGCTGCACCCATGGATATGATATTATTAATCGAATCCCCGTTGGATGTCCAAATGATTGTCGAAAATACTTCCAAAACGGTAAGGCTTAACCCCGCGATCTTGCAATCGAATACACGTTGACACGGTCCAATGTCCGGTTTCTGTTGTAAGCAGGCGCGCCCATCGACGGTCAGACATACGTTATCTCGTGGAAGCGCGAAAGAGGATCATCAACGAGGGCATTTGGGCGAATTATAGGGCGACACAATCGGGATGTATACGGAGGATGTATACGGAGGATGCACCCGGAGGGGCATGGGCGCGAGATAGCGAGCAAGTGGCCGTCGGAGGCGTCTTGGACGTGCCAGGACCAGGGGACCCGAACAAACACCCAGGTCTCGCTGCGGGCTCTTATTTGGTTACACGCACGACAGAAACGGGCAGAGCGGGAGGCCATTTCCCAAGCCCGGGCTCGTCCTCTCTTCGAGAACGGCGATCCATCATTCCCGAAGACTCGGAAATTTCGAGTGCCACCGGTTTTCAACCCCCCACCGGAAAGAAAGCGAACGGCGTGGGAGGTCGCCGAAGGCTCCGACCTTCTTTCGCTGCGTTCGGTTCCACGCCCGCGACGCTCTGCCTTTGGGTGAACGCAAGGATCGGAAGATCGGTCTCGCCGCTCGTCGCGTCCAAGTCGGACGGAAACCAGACACTTGGCTTTTTCGGGGGAAAATTCGCGAGAAGTAATCGGAAGCCGATCGTTTCGACGGACCGATGGAGTTAATCCGGGGGCTTTCATCCAGCGGGCGGAGAGACGCGTATCCCTCGATACGAAGTCGAAGGAATTACTCCTTCTTTCGGTCGACAGGCGGAATTATTTTTCAGCCGAATTTGGCCTATCGGGGCCGATTATCGATTGGTAAGCGAACGACACGAGCCAAGGTACACTCACCCGATTAGATGACACGGTTTTGATACCAGTCACTTTAGGCCTATTACGAGCCTATTACGTGGCCGATAAGTTCGATAACTTGCACCGGAAACTTCGAAAGCAGACCGCTATCGATACACGGTACACACGGTAAGTGAAGTAAATATCTAGTAAACCGCCTCCGATCGATATCATAACGATCCACCTCGGGCCGAGTCGACCGATCGAAACGCGAAGTTCCGGTTAACCAAGGGTGCGCTACCGATGTCCATTCTCGCGTTAGCGCCGAAGCGATAGGCAAAACGAGACGAGTTGACTAATCCGTGCTCGCTGTCATCCCCGTTCCTCGCGGAGCGCTCTCCTCTCGCGACGGGCATTCCCTCCGGTGGCGGCGGGGCGCGGGGGGGCAGGAGGGGAGGGTATCGCAGCCACGTATGTATCCACCTGTTCCGCTCTCGGCGGCGGGCGTGGCTCGGCCGGGTGGGGCGGGGCGTCGCCGCTTAATCGCAAATGCTCGGGGGTAGCGCGCGCACTCGGCAGCGCCGCGGCTCACTTCGGAGCGCGAACCCGAGCTAATCGCATCTCGCGCCGGTCGTCGTACGTGTCCCGAGACGCGCCGGGTCCCGGTCGAGAGAGAGAGACAGAGAGGCGGAGCAGCGGATGGTCCGGGTCTCGGTCGAGTCGGCGAGGACGGGCAGTCTCGAGCGACCGCCGAGGCGGAGGATGCACTGACCTCCCCGGTCGAGAAGCGATCGGACGAAGATGGCGGCGATGCGCTACAACCCTCAGCTGGTCCCGGAGGAGTTGCACCAGCTGGCGCGCCACCCGTACGCCGTTCAGAGCCGGCTTCAAGACCTCGGGACGTCCCCCGGCCCGGAGGAGCGTCGCCTCGGCATCCCGCGGTCGCCGGATCCCGAGGACGACCTCCTCGGCGGCGGTCGGTACTCGAGGGGCCGCTACCGGGAGGGGGGCGCGTCGTCGCCGCGCACGGAGAGCTCGTCGCCCCAGGGAAGGACCAGCTGCGGGACGAGTCCGCCCGGGCCGGCGCACTCGCACGGCAAGACCTCCTTCTGCATAGACGCCCTCCTGGGCAGAGGGAGTCGACGGGAGTCCCCGGGGCCCGCTCGCCTCGAGGACGAGGCATCCGTCGACGCGGCGGATCGTGCCCCGGGCTCCGGGAGCGCGAGTCCGGGGAGCAACGCGAGTCGCAGTCCCGCGTCCAGCCCGCCCATCTCGCCGGGGTCGGAAGGACCCGTCGGCGGCGGGGGGCCCCCGGGCCATCGGACCGTCGCGGCCGGGCCCTACGTCGGGGCCGGCCTGGTCAGGCAGAGCCAGGGCCTGCTCCTGCATCCCGGCGGCCCGCTCGCCGTTCCGCCCGGGGGGCTCTACTACCACCCGGCGGCGGGAGGCAGCGCCTTCCACTCCGTGCACAAGGAGGGACAGGCCGTGGGTCACCCTCGGTCGGCTGGCCCGCCTCAGCAGCAGCAGCAACACCAGCAGCAGCACCAGCAGCAACAACAACAACAACAACAACAACACCACCACCACCACATACACCCTCTGCAGCTGGAGTGGCTGGCCAGGACGGGCATGCTGTATCCCAGGCTTCCAGCGGACCTAGCCGGTAAGTCGGTTGGGTGGTCGGGAGCACGGCGAGCCTTGACCGCGGACGACGCGCCGTACCTTTTCGGTCGGCTTATCTTCGAGGCGAACGCCGAGGGAAAGGAACGATCGAACCCGAACGAAATTTCCCGAGTCCGCTCGGCTTTATCGGGAAGCGCACCGATAGCCGTTACCGCGGAGGGCGACCCTTCGAGTTGTTGACCCGCGTAATGCACCGTTTGGCCGACCATATTGCTCGGATACTCGAATTTCGTTTCCACGATAAACACAAAAGCGGCCGTTGCATATCGGGATCCCTTGATATCTCTTGGTTCCGATAACCTTACTTAATGCATCGTTATCGAGCCTCGGTGGACACGTAGGCGGGGAAAAAGGTTGACGGAGAATGATAAGCTGCAACGCGAAACGAGTCATCGATTCGCCTAGTCTTTTCACCTGCCGGCCGCGCCTCCGCTGGGCTAAACGAGCTCTAGCTGCTCCGCTTAATCGAGGCGTGCATTTAAAACCCGTAATCGCGTGCCGTCGGCGCGTCACCTCCGTCCGTCTCGGCGGGCCAAAAATCCCTTTCGGCTTCGCGAGGGAGGAAATTCGGCGGGGATGGGGGCCGCCAAATTTCCGGTCGAAAAAAAGAGAAACGGCGGCCGCGTTGTCGGGCCAATCAGTCGAGAGCTTTTATCGAACAAATTGGTCAGTGAACGAATGGCGGGACGAATGGCTGGGGACGTGCGGGGTACTTCCTGTCAGATGATCCTGATTGGTAGTTGCTGAGCTATCCACCGGCCCAAAAAAAGAGAGGGCCATCGACCCCTTCCTCTCTAGCTGTCTCTTCCTCTCCCAACCGACCGACTCGCTTCTTCTTCGCCCCCGGCCCGCGTCCTGCCCCTGCCTCCCTTCGCCTTCCCCCGCCTTCCCCCGCCTTCCCCCGCCCTCCCCGCCTTCCCCCCGTCGCGCCCTCGATGGCGCTCGAAAACAACGACGTGACTTGTTAAAAATGGCCGGCGTCCCGTACTCGTTTGTAAATAACCGTGTAGCGACCGTTTTTATTCAAAGAGAATATTGGTCGCGGGTTCGCTGATAAGCGACACCGTGTTTCATCCAGGTCGTTGTTGGGCGAATCGAGGTTCACCCCGAGGCCGAATGCCGCCTGGAATCGGCTTTCGAGGAAGCGCTCGAGACGCCGCTCGATCGCTTTCGGGTACGTTTCTCTGCGGACGTCGTTGCCACGGAAACGTGCCGACCGTTCTCGGAACGCATCGTATTCGCGAGTTTCGCATTCCGATCTCGAGACGGAGAAGCCGTTTAAAAGCCGGTCGGGAACCGTCCGCCACTCGGTCTCTTCGTCGACCGCGACAGACGATCGTTAGGTGTTCACGTTTTGGTGGACCCGGATGCGAAATCTACCCGTACGCGCCCGAAACACGGTCATTTTAGAGGGGTTCGAACGAGTCAAGAATTCTCTAAAGCGAAGGGGACGTGCAAATCGAGTTAGTAGGGTCGTCTTAACGTCGGCCAAGTGCCGACGATTACTTTTTCCGTTTAATGGCGAGTCTCTTTCCTCCTTTTTTTTCTTTCTGTCCTCGCTTCCCCTTCTCGTTTCGGAGCAAACGCAGTTAAGGACGGAATTATTTACTCCTTAGGGAAGGTAGATGTTACGGGGGAATCAATTTTGCAACGGAAATTCATTACGGAAACCAAACGTCTCGGACAAGTATTTGAGAGGAAAGCAATCCAACCAGATATCGCGAGTTGTTTTGGAATTACGCCCATTTCGAACGAGTAGATGGAAGAACGAAGAATCGCGATCGTGGTTTCTAAGTTGAATTCGGTACGATGCTCGAAGCATCGAATTTATGCGAGAGCTATTTGCGTCATGTCATCGCTATCGAGTGATTCTAATTACATATTTAATTACACGTATAATAATCCGTCGGCGATGCGCTTCCGAAGCTGAATGGAAATTTGAAATTCCATCGGCATATCCATTGGCGAATGCAGTTACATGTAAATGATCGGATTTATAAATTAAAATTCAAAAGCGCACCGGGACGATAGGTATCGTGTGGCTGGTTTAATGGTGTTTAATTACTTGAAACGAAAATAACGCTACGTACAAACACGATTTCAGGGTCAAGTAGGTATCATGGTTAAAAATGTTTCGTTTACGAATAAGTCGGTGAAAGCTCATTTTAAGGAAATTGATCGGAGCAAATGTCGGAAATATTGGAAAAAGTCGAAAGCCGTCACCAAACGGTCGCTGCTTGGCGAGGCTTCCATTTGAGATGTCGTTCCGTTTTTTCTGGTAACCATATGTAATTGGAGTAAATACGGAGAGCGAAAACTTAACGATCGATCGGCTCGAAGTAATCAGGGTCAAAACCGCGGAGTAAAGAGACTCCGCTCAACTCCAGGGATAGCTTTAAAGCGTGAAGAAACTATGGCGGAAAGTCTCCCAACGGAAGGGGATGATATTCGAGAGACATGGCTCCGCGGAGGGTTGGCTCTGTTGGATGATTTAATTAGTTAATTGTGCGTCATTCATCCGTCTATTCATCCCCTTCTCCCTTGCTTCCACTTCCTACAGTACTACCACCACCATGGCCACCACCACCGACTCTACCTCTACTTCTACCTCTACCCCTACCTTTACCACCGATAGGCCGTCTCCATGGCAACCCTGCGGATTTGTTCCCCGATAAATGGCCAATTTCGCGAAAGCGACTCAAGTTGTTGGACAGATCCCTTTATTCCTTTTACGATTTACTCTCGTACTCGTCAGGAGCGAACAACTACAGCGTTTGAAGGTTAACGGTTATCTATTTCGCGAAGTGTAATGGTTTCGGACGTTGTCGGTGAGCCCTCGAAGGAAGCTCCCGGCACCGTGACATATGGTGGGCTGATTGCAAGGATTAACCCATTTGCTCCGAGCTCGATATATTTACGTTATCCTTTTCTCCAAGCCTTCCGAGGACGCGTGTCCGAAATTAATCATTCCGAGGATCGCTTACCCGGAGGCATCGCGTTCGCACGTCAACTTTAGCACGTTCGTTTGGATGAATGGGACCGATTGTCTTAACGTCTCGCCCCGCCTTGATTCGGTGAGAGAGATTACGGGCATTTGAATAGTGTCTCGGATTCTCTTACGATCAATATTGTATTAACCTCGGAACGTGACGCGCGATCGTTGTCCCCTTAACCGGTCGGGAGAACCTCGAGCGCTCCTTCCGCTCGATTCGATTCGATTCGGTTCGACCCGACTCGGCTTGGCTCGGCTCGGCTCGGCTCGGCTCGGAGTGGCGCGGCGTATGGGTTAACGCGTAGGTGGTAATGGCGCTTCCGAATTAGCTGGAGCTAGTTTGGCCATCCGCGAGCAAACAGATCTTGGTTACCCGATGTGTAACGTCCCGCGTTCGCTCGACACATTCGCCGCCCTTCGCGTGCGTGAGTCCGTGGCGCGCGTGCGCGTATGCATACGTAAACAGGCAGGGGTATCGCTTTGAATTCATGGACTCTGCTCGATTGGCTCGATTGGCTCGATGAACTCGATGCGACGCCCAAAGACACCTGCACGGAAGCGCCGAGACATCGAGAGCCGCGAGGGTCAGCATCAGCGATACGGAAGTGTCGGACAATTCGCGATTAAACGCAAAAGGGAGTAGGTTTTCTTTGAAGCATTTTCCTTCTTGCTGGGTTGGATTCGCGGCGAAACGAAAACGATCGCCAATGTCCGGTACACGTGTCCGGCGGAACGCAAACGGTACGCGGTTCGGTAGTAGAGTGGCGTCTCACCGCGGGCAGGACATTTACTAGAGAAGTGGAAGCAAGAAGTAATATCTCGGACGTTTATGGCGTGATTTGTGGCGAGCAAGTGCGCGGCCGAGCGGAGTTTCGGATTAAATTCGACCATTCCGGGGTAAGGAAAATAGCAGGATAAAAGTTCGGGGCGGCGGAGCCGCAGGAAGGCGGGGCGCCGGAGGCTCGGGGCGGAGCCTGCCCCATGGCCGGGGGAAAGGGCCGAGACCGACGTCGACGCCGACGCCCGCGAGAGCCGTCGAGTCGCCGCATCCCTCGGGGCCCGGCTCGACGAATCGAAGCGCGGCTGGTCACTCCTGCTTTGCGCTCCTTGAAACGAACTCGCCTTTTTCGCGCCAAGACGAGGAGGATGAACGGACCATTCGCGGTCCCGTGCTGCCGAGGGATAACTCGTTTTCGTCGTCCGAGGGACGAGAGGGTAACTCGCCCTGGTCCGCGCGGCTGTATCCGTTACCGCTGGATGATTTTCGAAATAAGTTGGCCGAAGTAAAGGTTCGTTCCGAGCGTGTTCGAGTTGCACCCGAGGGACGCGTAAGGGGGTAAAAAGCGGAAAGACGGGGTTGCGTTGGGACAGTTTACGCGGCGGTAAAACAGTCGGTGAAAAAAAGGAAGTAAAAATAAAAGCTACCATTCGGGCAGAGCAGGGTCGGCTAATTAGTTTTAATTAAGCGAGCCCTTCGCTCGGGGGTTTAACGAGGGTCGTTACTCGTTAGTTCCGAGATACGTATCGCGACGCACTCTGCCTAGAAAATCGAAAAACCGGTGATATCCCTCCGTTTTCTCTCCGATCGATCGTAACCGGCTCTAGTCGGCGTTTATCGTCGTCGAGCGTAGATTCGTCCGTCTTGCGCGAATTTGGAGTAGTAGCTCAGTCGGTACGCACAAGGGTGGACATTCGAGGGACGGTTTTGGAAGGGCCAAGAGCGATAAGTACAGATAATAGGTAATGTTTACCGCGACGATGATCGGAACGATTTAAGGGTGGCTCGGCTTGAAAGGACTAATGGGATCCGAAATGAATTAAATTATCATGATAAAAGGGCCGGAGAAATCTGCAGGGGAGGACGTGGCTCCGCGGAAAGGGAACGTGCCACCGTGTCATCCCCTCACGTTTCGGATACGGAACGAGAGCGTGAATAGTGATTGTCCACTCGATAAATCCGCCTCTCTTGTTTACCGACATCTGTCGTCATTTACGACTTGTGCGCGTTTCTCTCTCCCTCTCCAGTCCCGTCCCTCTGTACGTGTAATGCGCGCTCGAGACTCGGAGAGGTCGTACTTTATGTACATAGGTAAGAGCGCGAGGCTGCTTTTAACGGCACGAGGCGCGAAATTCGGTCAAAGATAACAAGATTCGTTGGGATTGTCGGATCGATTTGCTGCCACGGGGTGGCAATTTGGATCTAGTTCGGCCCGGGGGAGTGCGCGCCACATCGCGCCGGCCGTGCGCTCTCGACCAGCTTAATTGCATCGAGCTCACGATTTTCCGTTGTGAAATCTGGGGGTCGATATCGTAACTCGAATCCAGAGAAGCGAGCATCTCCCGGCAAAGATACGGAATCGACCATCCGTATCCGACCCAACCGACTATCCGTAATGGTGATTGTACGACCCGCGGACGTATACGTGCAGTTAGGGCGATAAATAAAAAGTGACGATAGTGGAGAAGGCGGATGATTAAGGGGTTGACGCGCAACGGTCCAAATAATAATCGGTGGCAAAATGCGGCAAGGGGAGTCGCTGGTTGCGGCCATATGTGCTCCGCGGGGGGTAACCATCCTCGGCGGGACGACAAATGGCCCACTAAATGCTAAGTGTCGAATATGTCCGGCTCGGAATAGGGTCCGGACAAAGGGGCGCAGGTAGGTACGGAACGGTTGCGAAACCTTCATTCGTGTCTCTTATACGCGTTGGCAATTAATTTAACGCGCGAATGGAATCGATTAATGAACGATTGCAGTCGGGGTGCGACCCCGCTTACCCCGCTCGCGGAAACGTAGTTGGAAGTATGAAGATGTCGCACCCCCCTCCGTTCCTTAGTAAAGAAGGCTCGTCCGCGGCAAAGTGAATCACTCGTCCTTAATCCAAATGCATTCGACTAAACACCACCATGTGTACAAACACTGACAGCCGGTCTCGCACTTGCTCGTTAGGTCGGGGTTACTTATGTCAATGGCGCCAGCGAATAAACGTTCGAGAATCTACGCTAACGACTCCGGGCGAATAAAATCGGCGAATGTGGTGCATTCCAAATCCGTTTCATCGATTTCTCTTCTCCGTTCAACGAGGAGATCGATTTCGAGCAATTTTCTGACGCGACAAATACTGCGTCCAGAGCGGTTTAGGAAGCGTAACGGTATTTCCGCAAGATGACGTGACACGAAATCTCAGGGGTGCTGGAGAAAGACCCCGCGAGGACCGTCCTCTTAAATCGAAACGAGCCCTCCATCGCGAGTCGCAGATGGTTGGAATAAGTTGCAATTCGGAGTCCCCGCGTGTCGGCGCCGATGACATCGAGCCGGAACTCACCCCTGACCAAGAGTCATTCGCAGGGCTAATTGTAGGGGCGGCTTCGGCCCCGACGCGGCATCTAACCCCAAATCATCCGGTCGTAACCCATAGGGATCCGTCCTGGCGATAATGAAATTAGCATTCGACGACTTTTATTGGATTATCTTCCGAAGAGGCGATGGACAGTCAGCACTGGTTGAACGCGATCGGGTCGCTTTCCTAAGGCCGTACCGGCTTCGTCGCATCGGAAAGGACGACGACGACGAGTGTAACTCTGGAGGGGTCTTTTGTTTCAGGGTGCGCGGCGCAGCACGCCCTTCTTGGGAAAACCAGACGACCGCGAACCGCGTTCACGTCGCAGCAACTCTTGGAACTGGAGAAGCAGTTTCGGCAGAACAAGTATCTCAGCAGGCCCAAGAGGTTCGAGGTGGCCACGTCGTTGATGCTCACCGAGACACAGGTGAGACGTCCCGGCCGAGGGGTAGCGGGCTTTGGGAAATCGGTGCCGACTCACGGAATTTGGAATTGCAATTGTGTCCGGAAGCGCGGGGAGAGGCCCGGCCTGCGAATCCGGCGTGGTTCGACAACTTAAACATAACTTTCGAGATTACGAGTTCTGACGGATCGCTCGGCAAACGGTCTCGGGTGTCTGAGTTATGGCGGCTCGGTTCCTGATTCGTTTCGATGCTTTACCGATTCCGTTTGGAGTTTTGGAACCGCGTCGATGATTCCAGCTCTTTCGGAAAAGCGGCTCCGAAATTCCGCCGGAATCGACTCGAGCGTGTTTTACGCCCAGGAGCAACCGCATCCGTTTACGCGAGCGATTCCGTCCGCGTTTTCGCTCGCGTGCTCGCCGGCGGAAACGACGTCGTCGCGTCGAATCGGGAGAAGAACCGCTGGCACTCGCAGGAGCACGGAAGAGCTCGTCGGAGGGTGAAGGTGATACGCGCAGGGTCGACGCCGAAAAGGAGGTGAACGACATCGGGGAGGTGGGTCGGGCACGTGATATGTTGTCCAAAAGATTTACGTCGTATTCTTACGATAAGGGAGAAAATCGAGTTGCAGCGTTCCGCCCTTCTGATTTACTACCTATTCTTCTCTCGCGTCGATGCTAAAATAGGAGTCTCGGTCGAATCGATTTTGCTCATGTCGGTCCGATTGGAAGTACCGAGCAGTATTCGCGAACGAACGTCGAAATTACCAGGGCAGTCTCTCCGATGATCGGGAGTCGTCGGCCGAACGTCTCCCTGTCGAGTTTGTCCACGTTCGAGTAATTCTTGACCCTCGTGGGAGGATTGCTCGATCTCGCGTACCGACGGCGTCGCACGGCGGATTTGCGATTCAGGGACGAACGTTTCGTTAAAGTTTGATGCCGACCGAAATTGCCATTGCATCCTAAAGACAAAGGGAGAACGAGGAATTCCTATCTCGTGAGATCGCGATCTTGACAATACATTGGACGGCTTTTCCGTGGAAACGCGGGCATAACGGTAGCCAAAACGTTACGATAAAATCATATGTTCGTTTGTAACTCTTTCCGCAACTTTTGTTTGTTTCAGGTAAAGATCTGGTTTCAAAACAGACGAATGAAATGGAAGAGGAGCAAGAAGGCCCAACAGGAAGCGAGGGCAACGGGCAAAGTGGAGGAGACCGGAAACGGACGTAACGTCGATCGCGAAACCGCGAGCGACGTTGGCGCTAACGCGTCGAACTCTTCGGAAAGTGGACGTAGCAATACCCAGGATAGCCAAAGAGGAATCGTCGAACTCCAGGAGCCTCTGTATCGACCTTACGTGGTCTAAGGCAGGACAGCTAACGGACTATTTTCCAAGAGGACGAGCCTCGACGACCGAGTTCGACCCCGGCGCAACTCCCTGGTTCGTTTTCACTCGAGCCAGGGAAAACTCTCTATTCCCATCGGTCGAGTTTCGCGTACCGCGGAAGTGTACCGCAGGCATTCGACAATCGTTGCACGCGATTCATCGAGACTTGGGTGCGTCGACCGATTTCTACGTTCGGATCGAAACACTCGTCGTATGTCGCTGGACACTTATTCAGAATTCCGGAGACAGAGGGCAGAGGCGAATAGAAATTCAGCGTCGGTGGAATCGCAGTTTACAAGCGGTAGCGTCAGAGTTTCGGTACGGCGATAGCGGCTCGCGCGGTCCAGGTCTTAACTTCGTCCAGGCTTTGGCCGACGAATAGGGACACGGTAGTTCCTCGTCGCGGACTTCTATTTGCACCTCCAATTCGATAATCGACAGGACAGGCTACGTTGATATCGCGCGTTCTATAATGCCCGACGGGGAAAGCGATACATCTTTCCTCGACCGTCCTCCTTGTTTCCGAAGACCGTTCTTCGGAGCCAAAAACCTAAGGCGCGAAACTCTCGATCAAATTCGGGGGAAACGTACTCAACGACGACGAGTCAAAGATCGGTTTTCCATGAAGTTAGTCCATTTACCGTTCGGAGTTGTAAATACAAGTGCAGCCTACTTAAGATGGACCATCCCGGTGTAAATAATTGGAAAGGCTACCGCGTGAATACCTCCACAAACGTCACTAGTGTTTCCATCGTATGCTGGAGTCCAGTTGCGCGCGCTGAGAAGGAAAGCACCCTGGTCCTCGAGAACGAGGGGATGCTCCCGGTTCGTCGAAAGACGGGCACATCCTAACGAAACTCTATTTTCCGGTTTCTCGGGTTCGCGTGTCCGAGTTACGTCCTCTAGGACCGTTTAGCCCGCGCGTTCGTAACACCTCCGCTTGGGTGTGAACGAGGCGTCGAGTTTCGGCAAAGAAACGGCACGCGAGGGGGAAGAAGATCGCCAGCCAACGATAACGGCGAGGGCGCGAACCCATTAGTCGAGAAACTAGCCGTGGATAAGTGTTTAGTGTAAGTGGTGCTTAATTAAGAGACGCGAGGTAAGCGAAGTATATATACATATGTAAATCGGAAAGCGGTATTTATTATACACGAAGTGAATGTAAATATTACTCGTGCACGATTAAGTTAGGAAGAATGTGACGCAGAAAGTACTATATCGCGAGAAGTTCCTAAAATAAATGACGAAAGAGCGAAGCACGAGTTCCTTCCCCGACTCCTGCGGAAACCGTCGGTTGGCTACACCGAAAACGTAAGAGGGGCCAAATGTCGAGAGAGAAAACAAGGAGGACGTCGGGTGTCATCCGCTTTATCGATGCAGTCACCGAAACGTTTGTCCCGAGAGATCGTCCTATCGGAAAGATGGCGAAGTTTCGTCCGCCCATCGTTAGGACGCGCCCATGATGCGCTTAGAAAATCGATCCGTTCGCTTTAAGGACACTTTCGTGATTTCCTTAGATTTCAAGGGTCTACGGCGAGGCGGCGAAAGTGGCTGGGTCCATTGACGACACGGACGATCTCGCGAGCCAGCAGGGGGGGTTCCGCTTTTCTTGTCGGAGGGCGATCGGTTCTCGAAGCGACGGTCGGCTCGCGTCGGGCGTCGACGGAAGATCCAAGGGCGACGATTCCCGACCAAGTACCTGCGGGGTAGCGCTCCCATCAGTATTTATGACATGCTAATCCCCCGTTAGGAATTCCGCGACGTCGCGGATGGCTGGGTGGAGCGAAACCGGAAGCGGGAGCCGGGAGCCGGGAGCCGGGAGCCGGGAAGTGGAAGCGCGCACTGGCTCGGAAGCGCACCAAGGAGGAAAAGAAAAAAGTGACGTTCGACGAACGCGGATCGATGCGTAGTATACGAGGCCTTCCCACTTTGGGTCAGTCAGCCGTCGGATACCCCGCGATGCGATCCATTCAATGGAGATCGCGGGTAAGGTTCGAACAGCGATACGAGCGAATAGCTATTTTCGAAAGCGGAGCAACTTTATCGTGCCACGAATATTTTCTTTCCCGAGTAGGTTGACGGCAATTTCGTGGGCCACATCACTGCACGCGAGTGGGAACGTGGCGTCGTGCCAAGAAGCTCTCGGCTTTCCAACGCGTCGTCGGCGAAGAATCACGTAACCCGAGCACCTCGAATGGACTCGGAGGATTCCTGAGGAAAAGAGGTGAGAGGTTCTCCTGCATGGAGAATCGTAGATGCTTTTGCGGGGATTTCCCCGGGAAGCATTCAAAGGGGGCGAGACCACCTTTCCGCCTCGTTGCCGGGATCGGCCGCGTCGGACCGGAGTCCCGTGGATCCGAACGATCGGCGGTCAGGATGACCAGGATGTCACGGGGTGCGAGCCGATCCTCCGAGAGTCATCGTTCGGTCAGGGGAAGCGTTTTCCCTAACGTCTCGCGGATCGTAAAGTCGAGATTCGAGATTCGAGATTCGAGACGCGCGATGGCGGCGGAGATGTCGGCTTGGCGAGGGGGCAACTCATGTTTATATGCATTGTATTGCTAAAACCCTTTTAACCGAATTACATTTAGCGATTCCAGTGCCGTGCCGCTGGATGCTTCCGTGTTTGTGCGTTTCGTCGACGAGAGGGAGAGCGGCGGGACAGGTCGGGGTTGAGGGAGGAAGTCGGTTGTTCCTCTCGGCCAATGAAAGCGCGAGAGGGGTCGGAAGCCGGCGGGGGAGTAGGAGGCTGCAGGCGGGGGAGCGAGTGCGAGGCAAATGGAAGGGAAGCGTAAGGGAGGAAGGAGGAGGCCGAGATAGAGGGAGACACCGGAGCCTGGATTTCAGGACTTGGAAACGTCGCGGCATCCCTGAACCCTGATTCCCTTGGTAAACAAGTGCTTGGGTGATTCACTGCTTGTTCACTCCTATCGGGCGTCGTTTGTTTCTAGAATGCCGACGCCATAGCGTCCTACGGTTCTACCTCGTTTTCCGGTCTAATGGATTCTCAGGCTTGACGAGTCGGGCGGACACGGACCGAAGAACCGGAAAGGACGGCGGGGACATTACGGCGCTTACTCGGCGGGTATTCTCTCCATGGACCAGCAGGACGCAGGTCGCGAATTCGTACGGCAGCCAATGAGAAATATCGGGCCTCGACTGAATTAATACGAATTAATCATTTACGTTATCTTTGAAAGAAAAATTTTGCTGTACCTGCGATCATATCGGGGATCAAGCATTTTCAGCGGGTTTTCGGGCTGCTCTGTTTCCGTTTCGTTTTTTCCTAACATGCCTTCTCATTAGCCGCATGGACAAAGTTCATTAAAATTGAGCCGTCGCGTGGGACTGCAAATTTTTTCCGAGGAGATGCAGCGTGTTGAAGCGGTTTTTTTTTCAAGGTAAGTATAGGGGGATCATGCCATATTTAGCGGGTTTTCGGGGTTATCGAACTCCTTTGTTTTCGTTGAATTCTTTTTGCATCTGCCATGTTATACGAGGTGTGGACAGGGTTAGGATAGGATCACGACAATTGGGACAGTAATTCATTGGGGACAAATTATTACCCTAACGTTTTAGGCGGATTCGCTCAAAGAGCATTGGTGTACAGATGGTTCAGATGTTAGGTGTAGAGAAACTAACACTAACGTAGTTCGTACGGTAAAATTGTGCTGCTTCGCATGGTATCTACAGAGTTTTGTTAGGATCATGTCAGTAAGGACAGAAGCTAGTCGGGGCAAAAATCTGTACACAAATGTACAGGGGAAGTCGCACGAAGGGCAGGGCAGTTCAAAAAACCACTGCAAGTGATGTGATTTACGTCGAAAATCGGTTAAAACACCTGTATCTTCCGTGCAAGATGTTGCAGCCCCTCGTTCGAGATATCAATTAGCAGGGAAGAACCTTTCCTGTCGGGCGGAATTGATGGCAGATGCAAAAAAAATTCGTCGGCGACGGGATGGCTAGAAAACTGGATCACTTCAGCCTGACGGGGAAGGTTCGTTCCTTTAAATTGATCGGAGGCGTGGGGGGCTGCCATTATTTTTCAGCCTGGATATAGGGGTTTGAAGGGATATTCGATGGGACTCATGACGTTTTTAGCCCGTTATTAGCCTGTTTTGGGACTGCCCTATGCTCTATACATTTTTTTCTACAACCAGTAGTTTCGCTGCTTTTTCTACGATCCGTAGAAGATACAACGGAAATAAAATGCTGCGCTCTGATTGGTTGGTTGAGAAATCGCCATAACTCGGAAACTACGCACTGCAAGAGAAAACGGCAAAGGAACATTAGATACCAAATGACATCCGCTGTCGATTCCCCTGGGTTCCAACTGCTGGTATCTGAACGGACAGGTTTGGTTCGGGTAGGGTGCGTTCGCGAGAAGCGCGATGAATAGGGAATTGGATTCCACGGCGAAACTTCCTTTACCGTTTTTTTCTACGACCCGTGGTTTCGGAGATACAGCGGAAATAAGAATGCTGCGCTCCGATTGGTCGGTTCTTCGAAGAGCCGTAACTCGGAAACTACGCGGCGTAGGAGAAAACGGAAAAGGAAGTTTCGCTTCCAAACGACGTCCGCCGTCGATCCCCCCCGGGTCCCAATTTTCGGTACCTGAACGGACAGGGTCGGTTCAGGTAGGGGGCGTTCACGACCGGCGCGATGGATAGGGGACCGGATT